AGCTACATCATAGTTCTGTACTGATGACCTATGACTGGTAGGTCTTTATGTGCATGTGTGTATGTATGTATGTATGTATGTATGTATGTATGTATGTATGTATGTAAAGATAGATAGGCATTATGTATGTAGGTATGTGCGCATGCATGCATGTACTTGTACTTGTTATAGGCTGATTATTGTAGCAGGCACACAGTATTTTTCTTGCCAGATGAATATTTTATGACGCAGAAGCGTATGTTCCCGCAAAACCCTACTTGGAGGATCATGGGTCTTAGTAAGTAAGGTTATAAGTCCCTTAATTAGGGCTATAAGTAAGTATAAGTATAGTTACCTTAATTATAACCCTACTTACCAAGTCCCATGATCCTTGAAGGAAACCCTTTTGTCTTTTTCTTGGTCTGCAGTTTAAGCCCCTGGATCTGGCAGTCCTGTGCAGGATGTGCCGGGTCTCTTCTGGTTGGCGCTCGGCGGCTGTACGGCCGCTTGCAGTGCTTTATTGACAGCAACTAGGGTATAATTAGGGTTCAGGGTTTAGGGTTTAGGGTCTAGGGTTTAGGGTTCATGGTTTCGGGATTAGGGGCAGTAGGAGGACCTGTAACTATAGAAACAGCAATGATGGCAAAGACACACCTTGGGTTTGAGGTTGTAGTTCTCGGGGGCAGGTCCGGTCGAGTTTCAAGACTAATTCCAGCAACTATATATACAGAAGGAGGCCTTAAGAATTAGAGTACGGCTATAGTTATATCAAGGAACCCCCCAAAACAGTGTTGGTAATTATTTTGCCCCTGCGTTACACACACCTGTGTGTGTGCACGCACGTGCAGACGCCCGCAGAGACGGAGTGACTACAGGCAGGACCTTGTGTGTCCACCTATCGGCATGGCACAAGGTTTAGCAATGAGGATCCTAAAGCGGAGCATTCTGCGGTGGTTTCGTAGAAACGTACCCTAAGCCCGAACCCTTAGCTGTTATAAGTCTTTCTTAAACCCTAAACCCTAAACCCTAAACCCTAAACCCTAAACCCTAAACCCTAAACCCTAAACCCTAAACCTAAACCCTAACTTAGGGGGTGGATCCGGCCCGCAGAAGACCACGAAGCCCCGAGAAGCGTTTTGGCTCCCGGACCGAAGGCCTTGAGCGTCTTCTTGTTCTACGGCCTCATGGCAGGTGGCCTTTAGTAACCCTAAACCCTAAACCCTAAACCCTAAACCCTAACCCTAAACCCTAAACCCTAACCCTAAACCCTAACCCTAAACCCTAAACCCTAAAAAATAACCGTTTTAGGGCCTTGGGCTTCGGAGCTGAGGGTCTGGGGTTTCGGTTGTCCGTCACAGATTCAGGGTTAGGGCTTGGACTCTAGGGTTTGGGGGTTTAGGGTTTAGGGTTTAGGGTTTGGGGCGCAGACTTTGGGGGTTTTGTGCGCAGATCAACATTCATCTCAGTCATGCTTTGAAACAGGCATAGTGGCTGTCAGTTGTTATCTCGGTACTAGCACAATGATGACAATGATGGTCTTTTCTTTTGGGGGTCATGACTTAAGGTGCCGAAGGCCTTGGCAGGGCTTTGGGATGCATGGAGACCCGGACATCCTTTTAATGGTTGAAACAGAACAGTTTAGGGCAAGATGCTCCCCCTGTAATATCGGGGCCTTAATAATGAATGACCTATACTTTTTTTGTGGGTTCCGTATTATAATTATAGTATCATGGGCCCAAAACCCTGTTCTAACTATTACGGCCCCGACATTATATCTTATTGAGCAGTTGCCCCAAGGACTGTCCTTGCGGTTCCCCGAATGCTTATGGCGTAGAGACAGCCCTGATCCGTCCAGCCGAACGACGAGATTTGAGAGCTGGCCCATATCAGTTTTTTCGTAAACCCTAAACCCTAAGCCCGAAACCCTAAACAATTTTCCGTGTTCTAAAGTCAGGGTTCCTTTGAAGTATGTTTCCGCAGGTTATTGACGGTCACTATTCGGAAAGACCGTTCAAGCGTTTATACTAAAAAAACCATCAGGTGGAGCGAGGCCGTAAGCAGGCCGTTTCAGGGATGAATGTAGTGCCCTGAACATTTATCGATACTTTTCCTTAGGTTTTTGAATCTGGGCATAGTCTAAGATACCCCCACACCCTATTTCTTTTATGAAGGCCCCTATCTCTGGGTTTGCAGTAGGGTTTAGGGTTTGGGGGGCTAGGCCGTCGTATCAGGTGTCCGGCGCTACCACAGCGTGCAGCGCCAGCAGCTGTCCGAGGTTTCCTCTCTAAGAACCGCCCTAGATGCGCTGGACGAGGCGCCCTTAAGCAGCCGAGACCTAAAAGCCCTCAACCCTAAACCTTAAACCCTAAACCCTAGAGCCCTAAACCCTAAACCCTAATTTGAATCCTAAAGAAATACACCCTAAACCCCAAACCCTACAGTAAATCTTCAAGAAATACACCCTAAACCCCAAACCCTACAGTAAATCTTAAAGAAATACACCCTAGACTCGAAACCTTGAGCACTAAACCCGGAACCCGAGGTCTTTCGAATGCGTCGGAGCCCAGCCCCAAGTCCAAAGATTGACATCTTGGGTGTAGGGTTTAGGGCTTAGGGTTTAGGGGTTTAGGGTTTAGGGTTTAGGGTTTAGGGTTTAGGGCTTTCAACAGCCTGAGAACCATAGTATAGAGGCCTTGTGAGTTACCTATACTATTTTGGGGTTTCCTTAAGTTATGATAGAACATACCTTTATAAATGTAGAGGCCTCAAGAATTAGAATAAGGTTTTGGGGTATATTACATTGCAATTATAATAAGGAGCCCCGCATAATAGTATAGGTAGTCATTTAGGCCCCTACATTACAGTGATATCAATAGCAGTAATCGCTACGTACCATAAACCAAGCAGCAACAGTAAGAAGCAGCAAGGATAGGAGTAAGAATGGTAATGCTACTGAAGTTACTGAAGTTTATGTGCGACACCACAAACCCTACACCGTAAACCCACAATCTTGAGAAACCCTAAGCCCAAATTCCATTGTCATGAGCCCTACTGCGGAAGCCTGAGCAATTACCAACAAGATTTCTCAGGGTCCTTTACATAAGCCAAACCCCCTGTATCAAACCCGCATAAAAACAGTATAACACATTATGAAGCCAAACCCAGAGCCCTGAACCCTAAACCTTAAACCCTGAACCCTAAACCCTAAGCCCTAAACCCTGAAACCCCAAGCAAGCGCGTGTCAGGCGTACTTCGAGCTGCGAAAGCCGAGCAGTCTAAGCTCGTCCGAGGAGGGGCCTTTGCGGGTTTAGGGTGACTACACTCAGACTGCAGGATAGGGTTTAGGGTTTAGGTTTTAGGGTTTAGGGTTTAGGGTTTAGGGTTTGGGTCTCTAGGTTGCGTGACTCTATCAGAAACCCCGAGGGATGTACCCTACAAAAATCTTAAACCCTAAACCCTAAACCCTGAACCCTAAACCCTAAACCCTAAACCCTAAACCCCCAAACCATAACCCCCGCAGGAGGAGCCCCAAAGCGGGTTCACCAGGCAGGCCCTCTTCCAGACCTTGCAGAGCGCAGGGTGCCATGGCCAAATTGGCAATTAGGGTTTAGGGTTTTGGTTTAGGGTTTAGGGTTTAGGGTTTAGGGTTTAGTGTTTGTGTTCCGCGTTGAGGCGCCGAAACCCCACGCGCATCCGTCAAGTCCGAAGCCTCGGGTCCAGAAGGATGTAAGATTTCAAGGCAAGAGACCAAACTCCAAACCCAAAGCCCTAAACCCTAAACCAGTATAATGTAGGTGCCTGAATAATTGCCAATACTATTTTGGGGGTTCCTTACTAAAGTTCTAGTACAATGGACCCCACAACCTTATGTATAATTATTAAGGCTCCTACATTTATAAATCCTAAATCAGTATAAACCTCTAAATCACCCTAAACCCTAAACCCGAAACCCGAAACCCTAAATCAGCTTCAGCCTGGTCGAAGCAACCCTGAGCCCAGAAGGTTCCCTGCAAGGTGGCTCTCGAGAAGCCCAGTACCATTAAGGGGTTTTGGTGTTTGAGGTTTGGGGTTTAGGGTTTAGGGTTTGGGGGTTGGGGTGTGCGGTTTAGGGTTTGGGGTTTAGGGTTTGAGGTTTGGGGTTTAGGGTTTGAGGTTTGGGGTTAGGGTTGCGAAGCAGGGGTTCAAGGTGGGGCTTTGGGGCCTTTGGGGTGTAGGATTCCTTCGTTAGTAGGTTTTAAAGAAGGTTTACTGCACGAGTCCTCCCGCAGGCCCTTGGCCTCACCACACTGTGTCCTAAACCTCCGCACCCAAAACCCCGAGACCCTGAAGATGCGGTTTAGGGTTTAGGGTTTAGGGCAAAACAGCCCCAAACCCAAAACCCACAACCCAAAACCCCTAAGCCCTGCACCCTTCATCTCATCACACTGAATCCTACTTTCATCGAGGTACGCGCTGAACAATGTGGAGCAGGCTTGGTCGGTCGCAAATCTTAGGCATCCTTGTAACAACCTTACTACTGCTACTACTACTACTA